ATCCTATGTTTAATCTGCCCAGTCTGTGGCCTGAGCACCCTGAGGCAGTCAGCAGTGTACACACTTCGAGCTTTGCAGAGTTGTACTCAAGGCGAAAAACACTATAAAAAAATAAAGGGGATGAGTTGATGTGACAATAGTTTTGTGTTGCTAAAGAGCAGGGCAAGTAGATGGAACTAATGGACGGGCGGGAGGTGGTGGAGAAAGACCGAGGAGCTTATGTGTAATACCGGTCTTGGCCACCAGATGTCAGTCCTTTACCATCGGGTGCAGGAAGGTTTCCTCCTATGGGATCTGATTTTCCCTCTCTGGCAATTCCCGCAAAGATATGGTCTCCTCTCTGTTGGTAGCCTCTCTCTTTTGTGGAATAAGGTTTAGCTGTCCCCAGATCTTAAAAGCTGTCACTGAAAACAACCAGAAAAGTGTAAGAATAGAAGAAAAATTGTCCATAGTGCGGCCTCCTGGATAGAACTACTGTTAAAAATGTTTGGTCTTTTCTGGTGTACCTGTAAAATAGTTAATAGTTCATGCTACTATGTGAAAGGCCCTGTTTTCTACAGATTAGTTAGTTTAATCCTCACTGTAGCCTTAGAAGGAAGGGCCTATTCTTTCTTGTGATTTTCATACATATATATATATATATATGTATATATATATATATATTAAAGCCTTACTGAGATAGATTTCACACATCATAAATTCTACCAGTTAAGGTGTACAGTTTAGCAGTTTTTAGTATACTTAGGGAGTTGTCAGCCATCAACATGATTTGACTGTAGAGAATTTTCAATAACCTCCAAAAGAAACCCCATACACGCTAGCAGGCAAATGCCATTCCCATCCCAGCCCTTCCCCCCATCTAGATAGGACTATTCTTTAAAAATATTTTTTTCTTATTTATTGTAGTAATGACATTTAACACGAGATCTATCCTCTTCACAAAATTGTAAGCGCACGGTACAGTATTGTTAACCACAGGCACTGTGTTGCATAGCAGATCTGTAGAACTTACTCATCTTTATAACTGAAGCTTCATACCCCTTAAACAGCAACTCACCAGCCCCTGGCAGCCACCATTCTCTGCGTCTATGGGTTTGACTATTTTAGATACCTCCTATGAGTAGAATCATATAGTGTTCATCCTTCCATGACTGGCTTTTCTCACTTAGCACAACATCCTGAAAATTCATCCAGGTTGTCATAAATGAAAGGATTTCCTTTTTTTTAAAATAGACTGAATAATGTTCCACTGTATGTATATATCACATTTACTTTATCCATTCATCTGTGGATGGGCATTTGGTCTATTGGGAATAAAGTGATAATCAACATGATAATACAGGTATCTCTTTGAGATCCTAATTGTAATTCTTTTGGATAAATACCCAGAAGTGAGATTGCTGGTTGGTATGGTAGTTTTATTTTTAATTTTCTAAGGAACCTCCACACTGCTTCCCTCCAAACTGGCTGCACCGGTTTACATTCCCACCAACAGTGCATGAGGGTTCCACACACTCACCAGCATTTGTCATCTCTCCTCTTTTTGATAACCTAACAGGTGGGAGGTGATCTCTCCTTGTTTTGATTTGCATTTTCCCGGTAAGTATTTAGGGAAATACCATTCTTATCCCAAATCTACAGAAAGGAAACTGATGTCCCGGAGAGGAACTCAGCCACAGTCAGGTGACTGGTGTGTATCAGAGCTGGGGTTTGAACCCGGGCAGAGAAGCTCCGGGACATGCACGCCTGGTCTGATGCTGCACTGGCTTCTGTGTGCATAGCAACCTGGGATCCTGCTGTTCTGTATTCTGTTCTTCTCTCTTAATGGTATATTGGAACGATTTCTCAGAACATCAAATATTTTGAAACATGATTTTAAGGTGGCTGCACAATGGTCTGTCTATACTGTGGACCCTCTTTGATGGGCATTGGGTATTACAGATTGTCCCTTTTTTCTAAGTGACTCTGAGGATTACATCCATGCTCATTCATGTTTGTGGACACTTCTGATAATTGCCTCATGGCCTTAGCATAAATCTTGGAAGCAAAGACCATATATAATTTAAGGACAAATCATTTCCAAAAAGATTGTACTAATTTACACTCTTCCAAAAAATGTTCAAAAGCTATTTTTTTCCTTTTCCTCTATAGTCTCTTTCACCAAAGGTTCTAAGTCCCTTTGGTCTGCAATTGGTAAAGGATGAAAGCAGAGGTGTTACTGGTGGAGTTTGTTCTCCTCGGTTCTTCAAAGAATTCAAAGGAAGAAACACATCTGCAAAGCAGGATGAAAGTTTTATTTGAATACACTCCAAGGGGAGGCGCTGGCCGAGTCAACATGGACAAAGGCCCCGAGCTTTTAGGGGAGGGTGTATTTATCATGTCGTGGCCGGGAGGCACTTCTTTGATTGACAGGGTGAGATCATTTGATTGACAGCTCTAGTTAAACACCGATTCCTCTTGGTGCGAATGTCTTTTCCCAAAATGTACACAGAATAGCCCATGGGAGTGGGGGGAGCAAGACCGCGATTTTGTTTTAATGGGAGTATGAGGAGGTGTGGTTTGGGTGGTTCCTAGTTTTGTTCAATGGCACCACGCTGTTATTGGGACCTAGTTGGGACCAGCTTGGCCTGGTCCCCAGAGGCAGGAAGTTATCTCCCTGCAAAGCCTTTTTTGTCTTCACATGGGATCCTCTACCTGGGCAGAGTTTGGGCCATTTTTTTTTCCTTGAACCGAATCTTCCCCTTCCCTATCTGTTCACGTCTGTCCTTCTACCTGACCCAGGGTTAGGGGGGTATTTTTGCTTTGAGGACCAGCATTTACCCTCATGGTGGTGACACAGGTTGCACATACAGAGTTTCCAGAAGATTTTGGCTCAGTAATAGATACTAGGTCCAGCCCTGGCTCATTTGGGGAGCAGAGCCTGACCTTTTAGGCTGATATAATGGCAGTCACCTACAGTGACAGCGACACCAGGCATGTCTCCCGACACCGATGCAGCAGTGTGCTGTCACGGGAGCACTCATGCCTTCATTTATTTATGCAGCATGTTGTTCCTGAGGGCCTGCTACTGTGCCTGCCTTGTGGTGCTGGAGCCCGAACACGGGAGGAGACTTCCCTCAGCTGCACAATGGGCTCAGCAGGATTTGCCTTGCAGGGGGTTGTGGGGAGCCAGTAAGAAAGCACATGTAATCAAGTGGACCTATTACTCTTACTTTTTATTGGCAGTTTCTGACCAGGAGAGACATTGCTTCTGGCTCCATGAAGACTCACGTAGCAAATGAGTTTTACAAACTGTTCACTTGAGTGTCTATTAAGCCCAGTATTTACTGTTTGCTTAAAGACAGACCCAATTCTGATCTCACCCTTGCCGTGCCCCGAATCAGCTAGCATCTGGTCCTCTTCTGCTTCCCCTACAATCTAGTTACAACCCTATGGCATCCCAAAGGACAGGGCACACCTAGCCATGGGCTTATGGTAGGTTTGTACACAGATGGCAACTTCAGGGTTTGGGGGTACGTTTTAGGGTGGGGTGGCAAGACTGAGGGGAATGTCCTCCCCCTTTCCCTGGCTCCCTGAAGATTGAGCCCAGGACTCCTCTGGCCTCCTACTAACACCTCTGTTGTTTTCTCCACCTGGCACTCCCCCGGGGAGGTGTTACAATCTGTCTCTTTATCTTCTTCCACGTCCAGCAGAGGGCTCCTAATCCAGCCCTCTATCCCAACAGCCTGATGCAGTGCGTAGCACGCAGTAGGTGCTCAGTAAATCTGTGTGAAATGAGAAGGAGCTGAAGGAAGGTAGGCATCACTTTGCTGAAGCTTGTCTCACTGGTGGAGCAGGCAGTGCGCACTGACAGGGGTGTGGTTTTCCATCTCCTTTATTCTTTCCTGCTCCTTCTTCCATCTGGGCTTCCCTCCTCCAGCCTTCTGACCCCTGCTGCCCCCATCTTGGGCCTCTGCCTGGGGTCTCCAGGCGGGAAGTTGCCTTCACTCCAAACTTCCCAAATCATGGCAGCTGAAACCAAATGGTTTCAGAGTTGTATCCTTGGAGGAAGCTCAGGATGGCATACTCTGGAAGGCTGAAGGCTTTGTGTGCCCTGGGTCCCCCCTTATTTGAGAGTGCATCCCCAAAGAAGTCTTGGAAGCTAAGGGAAGGGCGCTGCTGGGCTTTTGAGGGGTGGGGATGGCTCAGACATCCACATGGGCTGTCCCTTGGGAAGTGGGACTGGGAAGGACGTTGTAGGTACGGGTGGCAGAGTTTGTGATAGGGGTCCTTTGCCTGCTCTGTTATGGGCATGCCAGCGTGGAACCATCCTAGTTTGAAGGGCCCCACCAATAGCTCCCTGGGGCAGAAGGCCACTGCCAACTGGTCCTTTGAGATGGGAAAAACAGAATCTATTTTTATTATCCTTTAGCATCCCTCTGCAGGAGGAGGTAGGGATGTCTAGAATCTAGAACCTTCACTCTGTCTAGAATACACCTCCGTACCTTTTTGGGATGCTTGTCTCCAGCTGCAGCCACGTGGTTCTGGAGGACACTGTCAGTCATGCCCACAGGACCGAGGAGAGCCAGTCATAGAACCCTAAGTCCCCGGCCCCGGATTGGTCCAGGATAGGACACATGACCTGAGGTGGGCCAATCAGAGCCCTCCTTGGTATGTGGACATTTTTCTGAGCCTTTTTTCCGAGTCTTTCTCTAGTGTAGAAGCCTTAGGAAAGTAGCTGTCAGGTGAAGAGAATCAAAGATGAGAGAAGGGAAAGGGTGAACTGATGGCTTTTGAGTTCTTGGTTCCAGTTACCGAGCTCTTTGGCCATGTTCTGGCGGCTGCATCCTGGATCCCCAGTAGCCTCCCAGTTAAGTCTCCCTTTTTGTTTAAGCCTCTTGGAGCTAGGCTCCTCTCGCTCATTGTTCGGACTAGATTCTAGAGTCCTGCCTGGTTCTGATGTACCTTCCCGACGCAGGGACTGGCATCCATTTATATTAGCACCGTTAAAAACGAGATCCTTTATTCTCTGCTGAGAATGAGCTTTGCAGAGCACCAGACACAGCTCCAGTCAGTGCCCCGGGGCGGGAGTGCGCCGAGGGTGTATGTGTATGTATTTGGGATGGGTCTGGTTGCTTCCTGCAGCAACCCCGTGTTCAGGCTGCGGGAGCCAGGCCAATCCTGTTGTTTGCCCGATCGTACACGGTGAAGTATAACCTCAGGAAGACGTCACCCAGGATCCAGAGCTCTGTGTCTGTTTCGAACACGCTTTCTGAAAAGGTGCTGTAGCAGTTGTCCTTACTGTCCTGGAAGAGGTGGAAACACGCACCAGTCAGCCTGAGCTGCCCGCCTTCCGCATCCAGGACGTCTCAGCTCTACTTCCCTACTTTCATGTGAGCCGAGGGGCTCCTGCAGCAGCTGCAGGAGTGGGGTGCCCACTTAGAAGCCAGAATGACCTGTAGTTCCCTCGCGCTCTGCAGTGTCTTTCCTTCTGATTCATGTTTGGTTGTACCCTGCAGAGAATACCTTTCCTTCACCCCTTCACCCCCACCCATTCTTTAAGATTGAGTTAGCCTCCTTCAGGCAGTCTTCCTGGACTGATGGTTGTTGCCCTTGGCTACTCCAGGCTGGGTTGGGTGATTCTCCTGGGTGCTCCCTGTGGCTGTACCCCTTATCACACTGGATCCACCCCAGGCACCTCTTTGCACAGCTCTCTGGAGCACCATTTGCATGGAGCTCAGTGTAGACCTGCCTAGGCCCAAAGAGGCCTTCCTGTGCCTCCATGAGATTGGGGCTTAGAATTATTTAAATTCTCTCTCTTCCTCAAAGCCTTGTTTGAACCCATTCAGCATCTTCTGACCTCCCAGTGGGAACTGATATTTATTGAGACTCAATTATGTGCCAGGTACTGGGAGGGCACTGTACACTCTCCATTCGTGCCAGCATCTAACCATCCCATGAATGGGGGGCTGGTACCCCATTTCACGGAGGGGAAACTGGAGCTTAGCAAGAGGAAGTTGCCGCCTATGACTGGGGTGATCATAGATTTTATCATCCAAACCAGGACACTTTTAAGATGAGAAGGGAGCACTGTCAATAATTACAGTGGGACAACCCCCTGGGACTTGCCCCAGGTAACCCTACTTGTCACTGTTCCTTTGACCTATTTTAGGGCTACTATTGCTGACTTCCTGTGTCCTGGTAACCGGAGGTCCTTGAGGACAGAGGCCCTTAGTACCTCCCTCTCCTTATGCCTAGCATTGTGCCAGTGAAGGCTGACTGCTCCATATATATGTGAGGATGATGGATATTCCAGACTGCCAAAGGGGTCCTGCTATCAGGTTTTGCCGGAGGTCCTGTGTAGCCAGGGGGCTTGGCAGCATCTGCAAAGGCATAGCTTGGCCTCCAGGGGGCCTCTTTCTCCCTGTGGTAGCCCACTGGTTCCTGCAAGTCTCAGATTTGAGGACCAGCCCCCAGGGTTGGCCCCTCACCTCCAGGACGTAGGACCTGGCTGGCACTGGGTACGCAATGCCGCCGATGGTGAAGACGATGTCAGGCAGGGTGTTGATGGTGTTGCAGTCAATGATGAACTATCGGAGTAAAGGGGAGAGAGAAGTTTGGCCCAGCTGACCTTCTGTGTATGGAGAGCCCTGGAGTGACCCTGCCGTATAAGACTATTTACCTCATTATTGAGGGATTTCTTAGCATTGATGATGTTCTGGATGTTGTTGACAGGGTCGATTTGGCCAATCAGCAATGAGGTCCCAGTATCCACAATGGCCTGGCAGCCACCATCACAAGCAACAACCTTTCCATTGATGGAGATGCTGGGAGACAGGAACAAGCAGGCACCAGGATCACTCTGTAGCCTACCCTCATTTCTGCCCCCGCTCTGCTCTGCCTGTCTCCATAACAACCCTGCAGCTCATGCCTATCAGCTGTTAACTTTCTTTGACTTCTTTCAGTTTTGGAATGTACTGAGCTCTTCATGTGCCTCAGGGCCTTTGCAGATGCTGGTTGCCCTTCCTAGAACCACCTGCACCCCCATTGTCTCATGAATTTCTCCTCATCCTCCAGGTTCCAGCTTCATTGTCATTTTGTAAGGGAAGTTTTCCCCTCAGACTAGATCAGGCTCCTCTCTAGGTTACTCTGTATACCCTTCCTCACTGCCAGCATGTATCAGATTGGTAATTCATTATCTGTGTGACTCGTTTTGTGTATATCTGCCCTATTAGATGGGGAGGTCTGTAAGATCTAGTAGTATCCTCAGTGCCTCCCTCAAGGGCACAGCACACAGCAGATGCTCAACATATAGCTGTTGAGTGAATGAATCAATGAATAAACAAGTGGATGAAAGACCACCAGAGACCTGTATCTGGCATCTGGCAGTGAAAGTGGAGGTTTTCTTGGGCAGTAGGTGCTCAGAATCATGGGAAGGGAGTCACAGGCTGCTCTGGAAGAGGTTGCTTCTCCAGCAGTCCCCAGCTCAGATGCTGAGGTCCCTGGCCAGGCAACGCCTAAGCTAGCCCAGGGGTCAGGATGGGGACTATGGAAGCCTTCAAAGGACATTGTGAGCTTTTGTCTGATGGTGTCCCACAGAATCCCACCAATTATGGCCCCCTTGTTTTCAAACCACCCTGAATTCCCATCTTCCTGATGATCTCTGTCACAGACAAAGCCCCACTGTGTGCCTGGGATGGGGGTGGGGAGAGGGGTCCCTTTGTATGATATGGTTTCAGGCCTCCAGGACGATGTGGGTGTCTGTGCATGTCTGTGTGTGTCTGCGTGTGCATGTGCATGTGTGAAGCGTCACTTGGGGTGGTCCTCAGAAGGCAAGGCTTACCTGTCCATGGATATCTGCCAGTAGGAGGGTTTGGACACTGGCACCCAGCTGAGGTTCCCTGAGAAGTAGGAGTTGTCCACCCCACCAAACATCACCATGCTGCCCTCGTTCTTGCTGAGGCAGGAGAGGAAAAGGAGGAGCTTATTGTTAGGGGTGAATAATGGGGTGGCTTTTTTCAAGCTTGTCATGCCCAGGCACTAAGGGCAGTGTGTAGTGTGGCTCATTATCCACATATCACACAGCCCTAGTGCTTGGGTGCTATGATCTCCATTTTCCAGGTGGGGAAGCTGAAGCACAGAGGGGTTGAGTATAAGCCCAAGGTCAATCACATGGCTCATGAGCGGAAAGGCTGAGGCTTGAACCTGGACAGTCCAGCTTCAGGGCTGGGCTGCTACCCTTCTGAAGATGGCCAGGTCCTCTTCAGTGATCTGAGTGTCTGGAGGTGCCGTCGGTGGATGTCGTGCTGGAGGGGACCGGCCTCCACTTCGCCTAGCCTGTCATCTTTCAAAAAGCTGAAGCCCATGAGCAGTAGGGGCTGTGCATATAGGTTCCGACGTCCATCCTAACCCCCTCCTCTGTTCTCCACCTCCCTCCACCTCCCTGGACCAAGCTGCAGCCTCTCTCTCTTAAAGAGATGGCCTCAGCCTCCTCCCTGGCCTCCCCACCTCCATTCCATGGCATCGTTCTTCAGCGGGTACCAGAGTGAGCTTTGAGAGTGTAGATTGGATCGTGTCTCTTTCCTGCCTAACACTCTGCCAGAGGCCTCCACTCCCACTTGGAACATAACCCCAGGGCAGCCTTGTCCTGCTTCTCTTCCACACTTCTTTCCCCTGCTCCCTCCCAAGGCTCCAGTCACACCAGCCCCCTTGCTGGTCCTGGGGGTGCTCCTCTGGGCCTTTGCACTTGCTCCTCTCTTGCCCTTCAAGCCTGGCTTTCTCCCGGCACAATGGACATGACTGGGAGAGGCCAGGGGCTGCCCATCTAAGGCCACGCCCATCTCTGTCTTTCTTATCACCTTCTTTTGTTGCCTTCACAGAACCGGTTACTTTGGAAGTCATCATTTTCCTTTTTTTGTTGTTGTTTACTTATTTCTTGTCGTCTGCCTCCTTCATCTGCACAGAGCAGCAGCCAGCACCTGTTGGTGCTCGGTGAGTATCTGCTGCCTGAATCATCTCGTCTGACTGGGGACAGTATTCCTGAGGCCAACGGAGGTGGAGCAGCTCGCTGCAGGCCAGGGGCCAGGATCTGAAAGCAAGTCCCTCCAGGCCCTCAGCCTCAGCCACACTCTGCCTCCTACACGGATCCATGGGGTCAACCTCCACCTTTGGTGGGGTAGAGACAGTCTGTCAACAGGGTCCTCTTCTAGCCTGTGCTTCTCCCTTTCCCCCACCCTCCTCGGACCCTCAACCAGTCCGGGGACTTTGGCTTTTCCTGCTACTGAGCCCAGTGACTGAGACCTGCTGATGGCTTGACCCTCCCACCCCACAAGCACCGCTGGGGACAGTCCTGTGGGCTGAGTTCGAGTTGGCCACTATCAGCACCCAACCGGGCAACCTTATGCAAAGCTCCTCTCTGAGCCTCGATTCCCCCTTCTGTTAAATGAGGGACCTGGACTACAGGAGTCAACCGACTTTTCCCATAAAGGGCCAGATCGCCAGGTTTTGCAGGCTGCGTGAGCTCTATCATAGCTGCTTTGTGCTGCCACTGTGGAGCAAAAGCAGCCACAAACAAGATGTAAACAAATGAGTATAGTTGCATTCCAGTAAAACTTTATTGACAAAACAGGTAGTAGGCCTGATGTGACCCTGTGCCATAGTTTGCTGGCCCCTGGACTAGACTATCTCTTGGGAAACTTCTGGATCAGGGAGTCTATAATTTTTCATACAACTGGAAGCATCTAACAGATGACTTGGAGAATGGGCTGGTCCAGCCCAGACTTACTTGTTCAAGTAGAAGGCGAAGATATTCTGAGCGATGAGACTTTGTTTCCACAGGTTGTCGAAGACAGGGGTGACCCCTTTGAGGCCAAGGCTGGGGAAGCCCAGGCCCAGGATACCATCAAAGATTCCATGTTGCGTGAACGTGCCAGGCTTATTCAGGCTCAGACCGAATGCCTGAGCCACATCAACAAGGTTCCCGATCTGTGGGAGAAGACAGTGTCCCCCATGAAGGTTTGGGGAGCAGGGCTGGGCTGGGCTGGAGGTGAGCGGAGAGTTACCAGTGGCACCACAGAGGAAAACGGGCTTGGCTATGCCCTGGGCTGGCCTCAGGTGGCTAGAACAGGAATGCAGGTTCTGGGTGTGTGGTGCTGGGGATCTTAACCCACACCTGCTCCTCTGGCTAACATCATCTGAAGTTAGGCAAACAGGCCTCATCCCATTTCTGTTAAGCGGGAAACAGACTCTGAGCAGGACCAAACAGTTCCCATTCGAGGACAAATGAGTAGAGAGCAGGAGTCTTCATTTTGCATCACTATGACTGGGTGACGGAAATGGACTTAATTCATTGCAGATCACTGTGGATTCTGCGACCAGCCAGAGAGGCAGAAGCCCATTATAACACATGACCATCAGGGGTCTTAGGAAAATTCTGCCTGGGAAACACTTGTTTGGATCTGGGTGTGTGTGTGCGTGTGTGTGTGTGTGTGTGTCTACTTAGGCACTTTGGAGGGGGGCAGTCTCATAGTTTTAGTAGATTCTCAAAGGCTCCCAAAGGTAAAAACCCATTGATCAAGGTCTCCCCACATCTGTGGCCCTGCTTTCCCTGCCTACGAGCCTGGAGCCCTCAGCTGCCCCCAGAGCAATTCTGTCTTTGGCCAGAAAACAACCCACACCTCTAAGAATCCTGATTTGCTTCCCAGCTCTGCCACTTAGCAGGGGAATGGCCTTGGGCAAGGCACCTACTCTCCCTGCTCCCTGTCTGCACGGTGGAGATAATGATAGGGCGGGGGTGGGTTGGGGGTGGGGCTTTTGCAGGACTGAACAAGTTATTGCGATTAAAGCATTCTGCCCAGTGCCTGGCGCAGTGTGACAAAGAGAAGGGGGTGTTTTTGCCCCACCTCTCTCCCTGCGCCCAGCAAAATCAGGCTTGAGTTAACCACAAGGAAAGGAGCTGTGAATCTCTGCCCCCAAGTCCATCCAGTGCGGTGACCCACTCTCTGGCTTAATGGTTCGGGGAGTTTGTGTGTCACCAGGGCCACTGTCTCCCCAGGGACAGCCCCGCAGGGTGGGTGGGCAGCAGCTGGGGGACTTGCAGTGGGCCCTGCCCCTGGTCCTGGGAGCAGAGTTTGCTCCCAGGGCCAGCCCTGCCCTAGGCTCAGGTTTCCATGTTACCTGAACAGTGTCATAGCCAAGAATTCCTGACATCCGACCGGAGCCGTAGAAGAGGTTGATGGGTCGGCCGGAGTTCACGAAGGTGGAGGACCACGTAGTGTTGAAGAGATTGTGTTCAGCTGCAGACACAAGGGGTGAGGGTCTGTCAGCCAGCCAAGGGCGGGGGAGGGGACTGGTGGTCAGGGCCTGAGATGGGGTGGGGGGCACTCACCGCAGGCCGAGGTGTAGCAGTAGATAGAGGGCACCCACAAGTCGGTGGAGCCCGTGTCAAAGATGACCTTGAACTCCTGAGGGGGTGTTCCAATGCTGATGGTGCCAATGTAGGCCATCTGTAGGGGCCAGGGAGGGGTAGTTAAAACAAGCCTGGCTGCCCTGGCCACCCCTGCCTGCCTCCACCGGGGTGTCCCGTGTCTCCTTAAATCTCTTTCCAATTGTCCCACCTCATAGCCTCTGCTCTGGCCAGTCCCTTCATTTGAAAAGTCTCCCTGGTACCTCTCTAAATCCTCCTTTTAAGGCGCAGTTTGAATGCTTTCTCCTCTAGGCAGCCCTCCTAGGTGACCCCAGGCCATTTCCTCTAAACTCAAAACACGCAGGTGGCCCTTTTATTTGACATTTATCTACTCTTTGCCTGTCTCTCAGGCTGGGTTCTGTGTTCTCAAAAATGAGACCAGACCCTTTATTATCAATTACGGTAACCATAATGTTAGTTTTTATAGCCTGGCACACTGTAGGGGCTCCGTAACTCTTTCCTGGCGTCATTCTAGGGTGTTAGACTTGACTTGCAGTTGGTTTCGTTGTTTGGCTAGACATGGCTCACTTTTCGACAATAACTCAGCCATTTGCTTAGTTCTGAAAGAGGAAAGCCCCTCAAACCAAGCGCTGTGGTTCACTGGTGCCCAGTGATCTGTCGTTGGCACAGAAGTGGATGTTTACCTGCCACCTGGATGTTGCCAGACCCAGTCACCGCAGAGGTGATGGTGGAGCACTTTCTCCTTGGGGGAGGGGGCCCTTCCTCAGCCTTTCTGCCTGCAGGACTCCTGGCCCCAACATCCTGACCTCACCGCTGGATGAACCCCCGAGCTTGGCCAGAGCCCTGGGGGGTGCTCTGGAGAGCGCCCTTCCCCCATCCCTGACCACACTCACGTCCAGGTAGTTCCTCATGGGTTCAAAGGTTACTTTTGGGTTCGGATCTTCATTAAGAAACTTGTAGGACTGTCTGTAAGGATGCTTTTCCAGGTAACTTTTCAGCATGCCTTTCTCCCTGAGGTTTTCTCGTATGGACTTGACCTTTGCCAGAGGAATTCTTTAATGGAGCATTCAGAAAGGGAAACAAATAAGAGACAGGAGTCAGCTACCTTGTGTCAGAAGATACTGTATTTTCTAAGCAGTTTTATGAGTGTCAAATCATTATCAGGACAGACCCCCCCCAATACAATGGTAAGAACATGGCAGTGGACTTCCAGGTTGAATACAAGTTCTGTTGTGTAATCTTGGGCTAGCCGTGTGGCCTTTCTAGTCTCAGTTTCCCCATTGGTAAAAAGGTAGAATGAGATGATCCCTGTCATATAGAATGTTCTGGGTCTTAAGTGAGATGACGGATGTAATACACCTGACATACAGGAAGTCTCAGTAATGACAGTCATTACTATTTGCTATTGTGAGCTCATGGTATCTTTTATCTTTCTCAAAGTAAGCCCTGGGAGGGAGACAGAATATGAATCATTATCCTCTTTTTACAGGGAGGAATCTGAAATGCAGGCAGTTTGTGACTTGGCTGTGGTCACACTGCTTCTTACAGGCAAATCTGAGCCTAGAAGTCACTTCCTGATCTTTCTCCAGGGCTTATCTAGAAGAGATGAGTGAGAGAGAAAGCCAGGAGATGGGGAATAAATTAGGGAGACTAAGAGGGTAGAGGAACCAGAGAATCAAAAGAGAAAAAAAAACCCGACAGAGTTCTGCATGCACAGAGACATCCACAGAGACAGAGAGATACAGAAGCAGAGACAAAGACACAGAGACACATAACACACAGAGACAGAAATGGAGAGAGAGCAGAGAGGATTTGGAAGAAAATGCTGTAGAAATGCTGTTTCTTGACAGGACCAAGGCGACAGTTGCACAGGTTGTGTACTGAACAATTCCAAGGAGTGCCATTTTCACATAGCTCATGATGTGACTGGCACCCCCGGAGTGGTGAAACCCTACAGGCCCAACCCAAGACCCCTCGGCCCCATAGTGCACACGACAAGCTGCTCATCAATAAATGGAGACTTGAACTTTAAGACTGCCAGGAAATGATCACAGTCTCTTCTCTACCACTGGATGGGCAGGAGAATGAGAAGACAAGAAAGAGCTCAGAAAGAGAGTGGATGCCCACCCGCATTCCTGTACTTACGTGACTAAGCACTCTGAGAGGGCCACCAGCCAGAGGACCACCAGCCACTTCATGCTTCCTTCCTGGGTCCAAGTGCTCAGGAAAGGGTGAGATCTGAGCATGCTGTGGCTGGGAAGAGTTGACTATATATGCCCTGACCTGCCCTGACCATCCCCTGGAGGGCCACTAATGGGCTAGATAAGGACTGCAAACCTCCCTGATAAGATCTGTATCCCCATCAGAGTTTGTGAGTAGGGGACTTGGAAAACTCTTGGAATATAGAGATTTTTGTGTTATCTCTTCCTCAGGGCTTGGCTGAAAAAAACCAAAGCCACAGAGGTCTCACAAAAAATGGTAGACTCTTGCTATCTTAGCACTGCTAAGAATGTGATAATAATAAGTGCCAGGTGCCATGCTTGTCTTTTGGGATCTTGTGAGGTCTTTCCAGCAGCTCCACGAGGTGTGCATTGCTACCCCCTCTTCGAGAGGAGATTGCTAGGAAGAAGAGAGGTCAAATGGCAGAGTGAAGACATTGAGGGCTCCCTGCAGCCCACTGACACGAGTAGCTGTAGGGAGTTGAATGGTACAGATCAGGGCACTTATGGTGAAACTGCTCCAAAGATCTAGACTAGAGCAGCTTTGCAATCGCAGGATTTTCACATTGGAAGAGATGTGATGCATGCACCCAAAAGATATTTTAGTCAACCAACATTTGTTGAGGACCCACTGAGGTTGGGGTCTGGGCTAGATGTTGGAAAGTCAAAGTCAGTTAAGATACAAGGGGTCCTTGCCTGAAGGAAGTCTAGGGCAAGGGCTTACAAATTCAAGACCCAGGAGGCGAGAGAAATGAATGGAAGGTGTGGACCAGCATCATAGGCAGGGGGCAGCATATGTCCCACCAAAGGGGAGCAGCCTCTACTCAGCACTGACCAGCAGTTGCCATGCTGGGAAGTGGGCTGGTCATGCCAGACTGTCCATGTTTTCAAGAGAAGTCCGTAGTCCGGATATTTATGTGAAATCCCTTGATTCTTAAACATTAGCAACCAACTCTTTCAAAAAGCATAGTGTGAGCCAAACCTCAAGCAGCTGTGGACTGGATTCAGCTTTCAGGCTGTGCAGATTTTTATTTCTGGCTTAGAGGTGCTTGTAGAGGTGGGACGACGGGGATGTCCAAGTCACGTTGGTTGAGCAGATAAGAGACTGGACGCCTCCTGCCATGTGAACTTCCCTTCCATTTATGAAGAAAGACCACCGGGGTCTGTTAAACCAACAAAGTTAACAGTAACTTAAAACATAACAGTAAGAATAACTTCCACTTGCTGATATAATTCCCCAGTGGGATCCATGCCTTGAAACATTTTGTAGGACACACCTGACATGCCTGGGAATAATGAATTTTTAAGCTTCTTATTGATCAAAGAAGACAAAAACGACCATCCAGAGCTTCTGCTCAGCCTGAGATGAGCAGGGCTACCCATGAAACTGGTACTTCTCCAGCCGAAGCAAAGAGTATGGGATTTCGTGGCTCCTCCCAGGACTCCCAGGGCCTTGGTGCTCTTATGTGTGGGGATGAGATGCCCAGGCCTGTCCCTTGGGGAGAACAGTGGGAGGCTGGCCTGGTCCCCAGGTTTGGGTGGTACGTAGAGGGGGGCCGCTGTGTCCCACCCCTCATTTTTGCCCATTGTTAAAATTTATTTTTGGTGGTTCACCCCTGTGGAGGAGCTTTGACAACATCTAGCAAAATACACACACATATGCCTTTTTACTCAGCCATTTTACTTTTAGGGTTTCATCCCAAAGATACCTCGTCAGAAGTACAAAAAGACTTTGTGCTGCAATGTTATTTGCAAAAGCAAGGAACAAGGGAACAGTCACCCAAACCCAACACTTATTCTGTGGGATGAATGACCCCACCCTCTCCTACTTTTTAAACAACAAAAATAACCAGCATGAGAGCAGGAAGACTTATTAAGAGTCTTATTGAGACAGGGACGGTGGATGTACTCAGAGTAGGGTGAGGGCCTCCGGAGGGGGCAGGGCGAGATATTTGCAGTCGGAGCAATGTAACTACATGCAAGGAAACTCCCCCCCTACTAAAACTCTATGTTGAACATTAAGCTCTAGAGTCATTCTTCAGTGAGATCAGTTAATGTTCCCCAGGTAAAGAAGAGTAGCACATGCGTACTAAAAGGCCCAGCCTAGGTGCTGTCTTTCCTCCTTCAGATCTGACGAGGTGATTTTGCAAACTGAGCCACTAACTTAGCCTGCAGACCCAGCTGCAGACGACATGGTAAAAGGCAGGAAGAATTTCATCTTAAAGATAAGATTGCATTGTAACACCTAGGAAGTTTAAGAGGCAGGATTCTTTAGCAAATAGACAATACCTCAGCCCACCTTGGGGGCTGGGCAGGCAGCCTTTTGATGTTCTCCCGGACCAAGGCGCTGGTGTCCCAGAGAGAAATCAAGGCAAGAAATTCCTTATGTTAAGTTAATTTTTAATATTCAGGGACCACTTAACAAGTACACACCCCTAAGCTTTTTTTCACATTCCCAAATATCCTCAACTGCCTATGAAACCCCCTAGACAACGCACCACCATGGACTCTCTTGTCCCCTCCTGGCGTGAGCAGGGAGCTCTGTTCTCTCACTTTATCTCTAAATAAAAGCCTGTACCTTGCTCTCCTACCTTGAGTGTTTGTGAAGCTCATTCTATGGCTTCGTGAACAAGAACCCCGGCATCATTATGAGACAACAACCAAATGACAAACAACATGAACCTTCTATAGATCCTGATTCCTGACTTGAATACAGAGTTAAAAGGCATTTTTGAGGGACTTAGGGAAATTCGATCATGGACTGGATATTAGGTGATATTAAAGTTGTTAATTTTGTTCAGAATAAAATAGCATCGTAGTGATATATATTTCAAACACCATTATCTCTTAGAGGTGTACAATAAAGTCTTAAAGTGATATGGTAATCTCTGCCTTAAAATATACCAGCAAAAATGAATCAATAACATTTTTTAAAATGAGGGTCTAGATAAAACAAACGTTTACATAACTGCTAGGGACTGAATTGTGCCACTTCCCAAATTCATGTGTTGAAGCTCTGAACCCTAAAATGATGATACTTGGAGGTGGGGTTTTGGGGAGGTGGTTACCCCCGTGATGGATTGGTGCGTACAAGAAGAGGCAGCGGAGAGCTTGCTCTCTCTCCCCCCGCCGGGGGAGGGCACAGCCAGAGGCTGTCTGGGAGCCGAGAGGGCCCCCACCAGGAAGGGACTGGCTGCCATCCTGATCTTGGACTTTCACCCTCCAGTCTGTGACACTGTGTTATGACAGCCTGGGCTGACTAAGGCAGTAATACTGTAATTCTCCATGCAGAGCGATGGTATGTGGGGTTCATGATAGTATTCTTTTTTGCTTTTGTTCTATTTGATATGTTTTTGTAATACGAATTTTCAAAATTTCCATTTTGAAGTTTCTGTCTTTAGTGATACCCTCAGGGCCTGAGAAATGCAGGCGTGGGCAGGCCCCCGGTGGCTGAGTTCTTTCAAGCCTCCCTCCTTATTGCGCCAGCTCTTCCTGCGAGCTGTCCCCACCACCTCCCTGGCGCCGCCTGACCATCCAGCTTGAGACTTTGAGAAGCCACATCATGGCCCAGAGGTGGAAGGGATGAAGACATTTTTAGGAAAAGTCAACTGGGCATTCCCTTCCTTGGCTTCCTGTTCTTTAGTGCCACCTGCAAGGGATAGGGATGGGGCCCTGGCAGGGAGGGAGCCAAGGAGTGAGGCTATGGGATATTTCAAAGGGAAGGGAGGAGAAATCCACCATCGAGTCACAGAGAGGAGGGCAGCTTGTGTAGGACCCGGTGATGCCGGGGTTCTTGTTCATGAAGCTGAAGAATGAGCTTCACAAACACTCAAGGTAGGAGAGCAAGGTACAGGCTTTTATTTAGAGATAAAGGGAGAGGACAGAGCTCCCTGCTCACGCCAGGAGGGGACAAGAGAGTCCGTGGTTGGCTCACTGTCTAGGGGTTTTATGCGCTGTTGAGGATTTTCAGGAATGAGGGTAAAGGGTTAGGGGTACACACTTGTAAGACCGCCTGCCCTGCCCCTAAAGTGGTCTGGGTTGTTGTCTGTTTGCATGGGTTGTTTATAGTTGAGATTGCTTACCAAAGTAGTCTTTTGCCTAGGTTGCAGATTACTTGATTATGATTAGAGAAGGGAAAATAGCACATAGTTGCAATTAAAATAAACTGGGTCTTTTAGCAGGATAAGGTAAACTTTACATTGTCATGATGTAATTGATACAATAAAGTGATGGTTTATGCTGAGATACTTTTCTTTATCTGCAGAACACTCAAACATTCCAGGCCAAGTTGCTCCTGGCCTTTTCAGCTTTAAGTGATTTCACTGAAGAATGTCTATATTCCTAGTCATGTATACAAATCTTTACCCTAGAGAATGAGTGTGACTCTGACTTTGCATAATGCTTAACACAGAGTTTTGATAGGGACTTCTTTGCATATTGTTACATTGTTCTGACTGTAATTATCCTGCTCTGCTTTTTCTCCGGAGGCCCTCACCCTACTCTGCCTAATCCCATGGTCCCTGTCTCACCGGCAAGGCCTGGGATGGGGAGGAAACCCTGGGAAGGGAACAGGGCCCACCAGTAGGGTCTTTGGGTAAACATTCTTGAGTTTACATTCTTCCTGCTGGGATTCCTGCTTGGACACGGAGGCCATAACAAGCCATGGGAAAGGGGGACAGCTACAGCCACGTCCTTTGGTTACTTCCCAGCTGCTGGCATTAACTCAAGCTGGACTGCAAAACGGCAGGTCATTCAAAGCATTTAAAATAGCCTCTAATTTACCTGACGCTCCTGGCATGTCTTGTGCCCAGAGTCCTTGCATTGGTATTCATTCCATTAGGAGAGGGGGTTCATCAGTCTCACTTGGGTTTCTGCTGAAGAGTCCACAGCCTGGTCAGTTGGTAACTTCTGCCTTGTAACTAGCTCAGCTCAGCCCACAGAATCTGAGTGACAAAATGTTTGTTGGGCAGGGCCCACAGGCCCTCCAGCTCATGGAGGGTGGTTACGCGGCACTGGTCTGCTGCCCCCCATTCTGAGTCCGCGGTGGATGTTGCCAGGCAGTCCCAGCCCCCTGACCGTGGAATGTGGCCTTGGCACTCTGAGCAGTACTTGCCCCTGAGCCGCTTGTCCCCCTAAGTGGAGCTGGCACTCAGCCTGAAGTGTTTGATATTCTTGAACAGGTCAATCTTAGCCTGGAGATGAGGAAACTGATGGCGGGGGCATGTGACTTACCGGAAGGATGCAAGGGCCAGGCCTCTGGGCCTCTGGTTCTTGGCTGGGGGGGCTCGAGGTGGGAGGGGGCAGAGTAGGCCCAGTTGCCTCTCCTGCTGCCAGCCTCTGTGGCAGCTGTGAGGTCTGCCAGCCCTGGAGCTGGTCTTTGCCCCTTCCTTCTCAGGTCTGGCCTCTTCCATCACCAGCCCTGCCATCCCATGGCAACAGGAAAGCAGTATTGTGTGCTGGCTCTCCCAGGGGCCAGGCACCGTGGTGCAGCCCCCGCAGGAGTGGCACCAGGAGGCAGACTGCCATCTGTAGGACTGCTGCCTGACTCATGCCCAGCCTGGCAGCCCCACTGGTCCCCCTCCTCACGCACCACTGGCCCTCAGAGGACCACGTGGCACCTATTGGCATTTAGAGCAATGAGCATTTTCGCCTCAACCTCTGGCACTTAGCCCCAGTGTCTATTCATTTCTCAGGGAGTAGCTGGCAGGTTCGGGAGGCACAGACAAGCCTGGATTCAAGGGACTTGTCACCTCTTTGATGCTCAAGAAAGACTGTGGAGCTCTGAAGGCGCTGACGGAGGATGAAGCCACTTGTGCTCTGTGGGGACTTTGCCATGTGGACCTGCAGGGAGAGAAAGGCCAGGCATGGGCAGACCTACAAGGAAAGGCTGGGCATTACCTGGGCCCAACGGGTTGCGAGTTGAATTCCAGCCATCAGGCCTCAGTGTGCTGGTGCCCATGCCCCACGGCTGCCTTTTGAGAAGGAAAGGGGGAACCAGATTCTGCCGACGGAGAAGCCACCTCTGGGGCCCTGTGATTAGACGAGAGTGTTTGCTTCCCTCTCGGCCCTGCCCGTGTGGTAGAGGTTCTGCCTGAGACGGCAGGTGAGCAAACTGAGACTCAGAGTCATTGCTGGTGGCAGTGATGTCCGCTGTGCTCCGGGACCCGGTGCCTCTGGCGATAACCAGCTTGTCCACATAGCCTGGGGTCCAGAGCAAGCTTGGCTCTGGTGCCAGCCTGCCCTTCAGGCCTCAGGCTACACGTAGCCCCAGAAGTTGCCATTCTGGGGAGGAGGGTGATGCTCACAAGGGAATGTGCCTTGAGGTCATGGTCAGTGACTTGTAGCTTAGGTGTCCCCTTGTGGACTGTGGTTTGTCCAAGTATGGAAGGAAGTATGGAAAAGTAGCCATTTATTGAGTTTGGCTACCTTGGGCCTTTGTAACTGCTGTTCCCCGTATCTGGAATGTTCTCCCAGCTCTTTGCACGGCTGGCTCCTTCTCCACATTCAGCTGTCAGCCCCACTGCCCCTCCGCAGTGAGGACTTCCCTGGCCTCTCCAGTCTTTCTGGCACAGAACCTGACTCATTCCAGGAGCCCCCACAGACACCGAATGCATTTCATGTGCTTTTCATGGGAGTTCTATGAGGTCGAGAGTGTTCCCAACTTATAGATGAGGAAACTGAGGCTTGGAAGAGGTAAGCCACTCTGTTGAGGAGATGTGGCTGGGGAGAGGCGGAGCCAAGACTGGAACCCAGGACTGTCTGACTACAAATCCCATGCTCTTGACCACTCTGCTGCTCATGAGTGCTGGGCTGGGGAACCAGGGAATGATGCAGAAGAGAGGAGAGGAGGGGTGGGAAGTGGGGTTACCTAACTGGCTACATTAGGCAGTATTTGTTCTTTCAGTGAACACTTCTTGAAGGGGCTCTAAGCCAAGTCCACAAAATGCTCACTATGCAGAGGGGAGCCTGGCAGGTGGGGACAGTGTGCAAACAAACTGTGCCCAGAACACAGATGCCAGGCCAAGGGGCAGGTGGCCTGAAGTCTAGTCCATGATTCATTGCCATTTCCACACCCATGGGGGGCCCATCCACCCAGAGGGGCCAGTTTTTCCTGAGGGGGATAGCAGTAGCCCTGTAGTCCAGGAAACAAAACGTCAGGAAAGAAGGGTGACCAGACTGGAATGCATGCCGGGAGGGGTGCCCAGTGCTGCCTCAGAAGGAAAGTTAGGAGGGCTTCCTAGTGCAGGTGGCCACTGTGCTGAGTCTCAGCGCATGAAAGGATTTTTGTCAAGTGGGCACAGGGAGGCGAGAGCACCAGTTAAGAGTGCAGCACTGGCATTGTAATGCACTCAAGAGACCATGAGTTGCCCAACAAGGTTAGACTGCAAGGGTCGTAGGCCTTAGTGACATGTTATATTAGTCGGTGTGGGTAGTAACGAACAACACCCAGTGTAAAAATAATGTTTGTCTCTTGCTCTTCCTGTCTGTGCCTTACGTGTCATCTGGGGCTCAAGCTGGAAACATCTTCACTCGGGGATGCAGACCAAGGGAGACTTCACCCTCTGCAGTGTCACCGGTTGCCATGCAGAGGGAAGGACGGGTGCCAGCTCACACACTGGCTGTTAAAGTGTTTGCCATGAGCGACGTGTGCCACTACCACTGGCATTCACTGGTTCAAACAAGTGGCACGGCCACGCTGAATTTCAAGGGAGTGCGGAAGTGTAATCCAGCGTGAGTTTACAGTGAAGACTAGAAAATTCTGGAGAACGGCACTGATGACACCATGCCGTGGTAAAGGAAAGCGAAATGGACAGGAGAGCGAAGACCAGGTCAGGGGGTTCTTGGACGCCATGTCCAGGAGCGTGGAGTCTGTCCTGTGGGCAGGGGGAGGCTCTAAGTAGGTGACCTGTCAGACTGTGGAGAAGGGAGGAGGGAAAAGGAAAGTGAGGCTGAAACATGGAAAGGAGGCAAGGAAGGAAGAAACGCAGAGGAAGGTCACAGGACAGAGAGAGGGAGGCAGCAGAGTGGCGGGCAGCGTGGGGACGCTGCGGCAAGGTCGGGGTCTCCAGCTGCCAAGCCTCCGTTGAACTGGAAAGAGGGAGACTGGGCGGGTGCCGGGGAGGAGGGACAGCGGGTGGACATTTTGGGAGTCGTGTATGCTGGAGAATCAAGACTGCAGTGGGGTATAAGGACCCACCTCAATTCTCCAAAAGCTTTTCACAAAAACAAAGGACTAGACTCATTTTAGGGTGAATTTTCAGACTAAAATTGGACAAAGGTTACATTGTAGGAGCACAGATTTAACCTGAATTTGTTAAAAACTCCTGTTATCAACTTGCTTTTGGTCTTTGAACTATTTGAACAGCACTTGGCACCGACAGGGCTCTGTGTAATATTTGGAAATGTTCATTTCCTTCCTGTGCTCACAGCGGCAAGAGAAAAGGAACGAAACGGCGGTCCTGAGGCTAGGACGGGAGTGGTAGTTAGTAGCTTTGCTGTGTCCCAGAACTGCCCTGAAGAGAGGTCCCACCGCAGCCAGTGTTTGGAAGGCGGAAAGTTAAGTCAGAGTCCCCGCTGGTGGTGGGCAGAGGAGTAAATGCCAGGATGGAAAGAAGAGGGAGCCTTCTCTGGGCATGAGGAATGGTGGCTTCATGCCTGGCTGAGGCTGTTCCTCCCACTCAGGTCTGCAGGAAAGGACACAACTTATTGTAGGTAGGTGGGTGCTGGGGTCTGCCTGCTGGGCGTGTGGCCTTGAGAGGAGCTGGTGGGATCCCCTGGGACTGACCTCCCTGCTTCCTGGGCCCTGGGAGGGGCACCTCTGTGACCTGCCCGGAGTCAGAGGGCATTAGCACGTCACTCTTCCGCCGCAGGAGCTGTGGCTACAGGGATGACCACCCCTGGACCTCCCTGTTGCCCCACTTTTTTTTTTTTTCTGGTTGTCTGTAAATGTCACAGCATTCTGTGGAGGGGGAGGAAGTGTGATAGGAGTTCTCTTTGGCCTGGAGGGAAAAGAAGATGGAACTTGAGTTAAGGAAATAAAGGCATGTGACATTGCTTACAAAACGTGAGGGAGCCCAGCCCAGCGCGTGAGAATGCAGTCCTGCAGCCAGACGGCCAAGTCCTGGCCTGGCCTTCACTCGCTGTGTGACCCCGGCCAAACTGCTCCCTCCGTGCCTCCTGTTCCTTGTCTGTAAACAGAGAATAATAACAGAACCCAGATAGTTAACATGTGCAGGGGGCTCAGACTTGTAGTAGGTGCTGCATAAGTATGTGAAGTCAATCATGTATTTTGGACTCAGATTCCTATCTGCCGTACATGGGGAGCTTGTGTGAGACTTAGGGGTTTAGAGGAAGCTGCCTCTTAGTACAGTGTAATGACTAGGGGGATCGTGTGGTTTAGTCGGTGGCTTTGCAGAAGGGGAATCAAGGCCCAGAGAGCAGAAGAGACGTGGCCAAGGTCACCCTGGACCAAAGTCATTTGGTGACAAATCGGGGACTGATGCTCAGGAGCCAGAGCACCGTAGCTTGGAGCTCTGAGTCAGCCTCACCAGCTGTGTGACCTGGGCAGTGTGGGGCCTCCAGCTGTGGGTGAATGGCTGCTTTGTGGGCCTCAGGCCTGAGCGGCAGGAAGCAAAGGCTGTCTGACCTCCAGATGGCCTGGGGGCTGCCTAGGGACTTTGCTTGGGGGAAGGGCTGGCCTTTCATTCTGACAACCTGCTGGCCTTAGGGTTCAGGCAGTTCTCTCTGACATCCTGGAGCCTTATCCAAGGCCAGTGGGGATGAAGTGGCGGAGAGCTACAGAGTGACTCCAAAGGCTTAACATTCATGGGCGCCCAGACTGGAGGTAAAGCCTGACCTGTCTCGACTGAGGACTTTATCAACAATCACATCACTACCTGCATCTTGCTCTTGAAAAACCTGTGTGTGTGTTTGTGTGTGTGTGTGTGTGTGTGTGTGTGTGTGTGTTGGGGGACTGGGATGTAAATGTTGGGGTGAAATGTACTCCTGCTCCAGCTGGTGGCTCCTCCCTGGTTCATCAGCAGTGGCTGCCTCTGGACACTAGAAGGGGCTTGTCTCCTGGTGGGAGCCGGGCTATGAGGCTGGGGAGAGAAGAGCGGCTGCAGAACACCTTGACATGGTCTGAGGTTGTATTTTCCCCAGCCGTGTGTGCTTTTGCTTCTCAAGGAACCTGTAACTTTTCTTTGAAGGCTTTAATACAATGGGCCGTGAACACAGGGTAGCCTTTAGCAGATGGCTGAGAGGGGCTTGTGGCAGTGTGGAAGCCAGTTCCCTTGGGTCGGGGCACTTTTCAGCCCCTGTGGGAGTTTCCTGTGGGAGCTAGCTGGAGTTTTCCTCCGCAGAATTTGCACAAAGTCACACCCAGGCTTGGCTTCATCCGCTTCCCTGTCCTGCTTCCCCTGCTCCTTCACTGGTTTCTCTGGAAGCAACTTTGAAATGAATCACTTGTATATGAAAACCGTCTCATGGGCTACTCCTGGGGAGGCTGGCCTAAGATGGTCCCCTTCATTAGGCAACCCACCAAGGCCCCTGCTTCCCTTCCGTGTGGTCCTAGAGCACCTTGAAGCTTCCCCTGCAGTGTGGTTTTGCCTTTGTTAGACTTTCTGAAGCCCCTGCTAGACCACTTGTTCTGGAGGGCAGGGATCTCACTGGACTTGTTCACAAGTCCACAGAAGTAAATGTGGTCTCTGTCCAATATACTATAATTGTCTAAGCAAGGCTAACACACAGGTTATTAGGTTATAAACTCAACTGCTGAACCAAAGCCTGAATAACAGAGGCTTAAATAAAATATAACTTTATTTTTCTTTCATGTAATAGTCCAAGAGGCCCCACAGTGATGGGGTCCCAAAGTCTTACTTGTTGCTTTGCCATCTTCAACTTTTGATACTCATCTCTTGGTCTAATATAGCTGCTTCCGCCCTTGCCGTTACACCTGCATTCCAACTAGCAGGAAATAGAGAAGGGAAGCAGGATATGTCCCTTTCCTTAAAGGGTATAACCGGAAGTTGTAGGTATTACTTCTACTCTTTGGCTACAAGGAAGTCACAAGGGCACTTTTAGATGAAAGAGAGGCTAAGAAGTGTATTCTTTAGTTAGGTGGCCCTAAACTGGACATTTGATTCCTAAAGGAAGAAAGGGACAATTAGCAGTCCCAGTTATACCCCGTTTCAGAGAATTTCACTGTGAAGACACACAAGCTCCGGTCTCAGTGATTCAAACAATTAAGGTTTATTGCTCACTCACAACCAACATGGGTTGGCTGGGGGCCCTGCTCATCGGTCACTTAGAGAAAAAGGCTGATGGATGCAGGGAAAGGGGATGTGTGGCAAATTGGACTCTAGTTCTTAAAGGCTTCCACCTGCTAGTGACCCATCACCTCTGCTCACATTCCAGTGGCCAGGGTAACTTCCATGGTAATGGCAAATCTGTGGGTGGATCATGGGGAAGAGAGAGGGAAGCATGTCCTATATAGAATATTTATGACAAGCAGCAATGGCCACTGCCTTTCATTTCTGTGCCTCTATTTTACTTTTCTTTGGTCCTCCCACTCTGCTCCTCAGCCTCTTCCATCCAGTAGATACAGATTTGGATGAGATTCTATGAGAGGACATACATTAGGCTGTTAGTAAATGGGGAAACCACACAAAATCATCAAAGAAAAATATTCAAAAACTGTACTTGGAGAAACCCTGTTTATAATCACAATTTTGCATTAATACACAAGAGTATGTACCTGTGTGGTTTATGCATAAATTTAATAAGATAATGAAGAAAAGAAACTTGTAAAATATAAATTCATTTACCAAACCCAACAAAATACTACTAATAAAGTTGTACCATATTAACCATATAGTGCTACCAGGTTTAACTTCCGGTGCATTTATAAAAACACTGAAATACCCAAAGCAAGATAAAGATTGATCCCCCCCGCAATTAAAACAAATCTGGAAGTAAGCCATCCAGAGATGGAATGGTTTCCATTCCTAAGGTCACCTCGTGGTCCAATAGTACTGCAGGAGTTCCAGCCATCACATCTGAAACCTAGACAGTTAAGAAGAAAAGTGGGGAAGGCAAAATGACTCACCTCCCAACTGAATCAGCTCCTAAAGCAGCCTTTCTTGATCCCTCTTGATACTTTTGCTTACGTCACAAAGTCACCTAGTGAGAACAGCAAAGAGGGCTGGGAAACTGGACACATTACTACAGAATCAAATACACTCTTTTTTAAAAAAATTAAATTAAATTAATTTCTTTATTTAATTTTGGAATCATTAATCTACAATTACATGAAGGACATTATGTATACTAGGCTCCCCCCTTCACCAAGTCCCCCCCACATCCCC